TGGTCTCAGGTGGAAAGGGGTGTGGCTTTGATTGGAAGGGACAGGGCTTGGGCTTGCCTTCCATAGCTTGGCCTTCACCCACTGCTCCTGATGTCAGACCATGGATATTGCTGGACCAGAGAGTGCCAAACTACAGAAATTCAACCTGTATTGGATTTCTGCTAGCATGTGAGGAAACTTTGTGGTCCCCAATTTTGTATGGGTACATGTTATTTGAGGCATTGTTTCCCTTCCTGTATTCCTTTTCTGATGGAGCATTGCTGTTGTGGGGGAAGAGAGATTTTTTTTGTCAGCAGTCAAGGAAGCATCTCGAGCCTGCTCCCTCCCTGGTTCTAGAAGAGCCAGAGTTTGAGGGCCCTGAAAGAACTACTTGTATATTTTTAAGTTAAGTTTTTGAGTAACTTTGAAGTGGAAGCCTTTCTGTTCAGTTATGAGTTTCCTGAATCGTGTTACCCTTCCACTAGTCATTCTTCATCATAAACTTTAGTCTAAGCCTCCAATAGTGTCATTACTTTATTTGTACTGCCTAAGAGCTTTTTCACAAATATGTGTAATATTAAGTTTTTAAAAAATTGAACAAGGGTTTATTCCTGGAAGACAGATCACTTCCCCCTTTTGATTCCACTTCAGGTTAATACAAGGCATTATTTGTGCATTTAATATTCTTATCTCTACTGTGTATTCTTGCATCTGTTGATTTAAAAGCTGTTGTAAAGTTATTTTAACGCAACTCTGATGAAAGAAAATAAATAATCTCTTTCAACAGAAGTTATGTTTGTCTGTGAGGCTGAAATTGCATAAATTGTAGTTTTGGGATCTTCATTTGATGCCAAGTAATTTCCAGGTGGAATTCAAGGTTTTAGTTTTAGCCTACATGGTCCTAAAAGTTTTGAAGACCAGAGTGGTGGGAAAAACGTCGTTTCTTGGACATACAGCCAAAGCTAACATCAGCAGAAGCTCTTGAGATTATTTTCCTTCACTCCAGACAATACAATTGCTGCTAAGATGTGCTTTGAGAGGTGTCCTCACAGTGGAATTCACTCCCCCTCATTGTTCTGCCAGAGCTTGGATCTATTAACATTTCAGACTTATTGCAAAATACTTTTTTTCCTTCCCAGGCATTTGGGAAGTTGGTGGGCCAAGGTTTGGAAATATTATCTTCGTTATTTTGCCGTCTGCAGAGACTTTTTAAATTATTATTATATTTAATAGGCCATGTTTGAATATTTATTGTTGGAGTGGGATTTTAATCCGGTCTATTAATTTTCATAATAAATATCTTAATATAGATGTGACCAGAATCTGAGATGAGCATTTTTTTGTTTTATAAATATAAATAAATGGTTGCCTCCTGCAGTATCCCTTGTCAAAGTTCACTTCCTAATCTCTACTTAGATTTTTCACTTTTGCTCAAAAATGGATATTCTTAACTTATTTGTATCCCCTAAAAAGACAGCGTGGCCTCTATCTCCATTGTCTAGAATGACCTTAAAAATAGGTAACTACTTTGCTAGCCTAATATAGGCCTTTGTCCTGCAATTTGTTCCTTGTGGTCAGAATGCTGTGTCAATATAGAGCCTCGTCAAAAAGCAGTGAGGTTTTGCATAGGTCCAGTGCTCTGGAACTCACTAGGGACAAGGAGGAGCATAAAGAGACACATGGCGGGACACAGGGTGATACACTCACTTTAGGCAGATATAGAGAGGAAATATAAGGAAATTGTAAATATTACAGATTAAATCCTCATTCCTTTGAATCCTATGGAATGCTTATCATGGACTTAACGAGGCTGGGATTTCACCCTGTGATTTCATGTGCTGCGGAACTTTCCCTTTTCACTATTCAAAGTAATGTTGCAAAGTGTTATGGGGTAACATTTTCCAATCACCATCTAAATCTGCCTGACACAGCTTTAAAAGAAATAAAACATAACTACAATTTCCAGTGTTTAGACTAAAAACACATATGGCTGAGGTTACTGTTTTAGGCTATGTGAACCAACTATAAATGTCTTTTGTCAGCTCTTTGTCCCACTAAAGCCTTGTCAGCATGAGTAATGTGTTAATTTACTGACTTTTTGCCTTAACACTTTTAAGTTTTCTATAGTTTGTATCTCTTTTGTTTTAATGGCTTTCCATATTTTAAAGATGTATTTGGAGGGCTTCATCTTCAATGTTTGCTCTTTAAATCGTGTGAGTGTGAGTGAGAGAGGAAAGTCGGGGAAGAGGGGGAGTATATCCTCATGTTGTCTCTTCAGATTCAGACAGCAGCTGGCAACAAGCAGTCCCGAGGCAGACATGTGGGGGGAATGGGGGAATCAAACATCAGCCCCCATCTCCATCCCTAGTTAATTAGTCCTACCAGGAGTGCAGGGGACTGAACTAGACCTTTCAAGGTCCCTTCCAGTTCTGATTCTATGAATTTGAATAGCACAGCAATATCTCTCTCTCTCTCTCTCTCTCTCACACTCTCACTCTCTCACACTCACACTCACACTCTCACTCACACTCACACTCACACACACACACTTACTTCCTCTGCCAGCCTGCTGCCACCATGTGCCTAAGGATGGCGAGAGCAGGATTCCCCATTAATGATTTCCTGGTTCCTGTCACAGCAGAGTGGCATGTTGAGGTGTCAGAACTGCCCAAAGCTGTGAAAAGGGAGAAGCACATGTCTGTGTAGCTGGAATTTAGGGCTGCCAAGTTCAAAACAGTGAACAGAGTGGTCAGCGGGTATTGTGGGATACTGGGGGAAGTCCGTTATGGTGACATAATGAATAGCAGCTTCTACTCCAACACTTTGTCATTTTAACTTTGCCACAAGAAACCTTGTTTCCCATCAAGATGGTTTCATTTGACAAAAGTACCAGTGTACTGTGTACATCTGTATTGTTTTGTGGGCAAAGCTGCCATTTGCAACAAAACTGGGTAGTGCAGATAAGGCCTTAGAAGCAAAGTGATCAGGGGAACTGTCAACTGATTAAGTGGCCAAATGGGGGTGAGAAGAGATACAGTTGCTGCCAGCAGATTCATAATTTTCCTTAAGGAAAATTATAAATGATAAAGAAACCAGCATAAGATAAATAATAACAACAGGAAAAAGCCCTTGTCTTCAGTACTACTGACTGCCATGATCCGGGGTGTGGAGCCTTCCTATTACTGTTACTATACAGGCACTCCCTGAATTACAGACATCCAACTTACAAACATCTGCAAATACAAGCAAGCTCACCAGCAGCTACTCTCAGGGAGCAGACAAGATGCACAGGTGGTGGCCAACAGCACAAGTGCCGGCCAGAGGACTGCAGAGGAGCAGGGGATTGTCACACAGCCAGCAGCTGGAGAGAAGCAGTACTTTGAAGGGGAAACTACCACTTTTCTCCAGTTGCTGGTTGCACACCTGCTCTTCCAGCTCCTCCAGAGTCCTTTGACCCGTGCTTGTGCACTTGATGCCACCTGATGAATGAGGGCTGAATGCAACCTGCATTGGGGTGGGGAGAGCTGGCGATGGGGCTGACCAAAGGACCTGGGGGGAGCATACCCAGAAGTCCTCTTCAGATTCTCCATCTACCTGCTTATCTACTTCTAATTAAACCTGCCTTGCCTCAAGCACTAGCATTCAAGGTTAAATAAAAAACTATTTCTACTATTTTTAATTGCAAATATTCATTGCAAGTATTTCAGCTACATTATGGGTTAAATAGGTTTTTGTGGGCTTGCATGGGAATCTAGCTACCATTTATAGCATTGTTTCTATGGGAAAATGCTTTATGAGTTCCCAACAATGGACTTAAAAATGAACTTCGGAACAGCTCCTAGTTTGTAAGTTGGGGATTTCCTGTATTGCCATTACTATACCAAAGTAGTCTCCCAATTTTATCCTCAAACCGCTCTGAGACCTGGTCTGTACTAAGAAAATTACTCATTGAGAACAATATGATCTCGATGGTGCTTGGTCTTGCCATGAGCACAGGGGACTGGAATTGATGACATCTCAAGGTCCCTTCCAGTTCTAGTGTTCTATGAGTCTGTGAATATGCCATGAAATGGTACAAGCATAGTATCCTGTTCTATACATTACAGTGGTCTATGTTCACTATGATTAAGCTGTGCACACTAATGATCCCTGCTATTAGTAAGGGGAGTTCTCTTAAAGTAGAAAAGGTCTGATCGTTCTCACCTTGATCACTTGTACAAGAAGAGGGAGGAAGCTTAGAGTTCAAATTTTGTTCCCTGAGGATCTGGTACCATAGTGCCCTCGACTCTTGGTCACCTGGCAAAATATTGGGGAGGATATTTTAGATTTACCAAATAATATAGTTTACATTTTAATATCTTGCAAAATGTTTATTTCAGGATTAACTATATGATAAAAAAAAATCTTAATATAGGTTGCACCTCCCTGGTCTGGCACCCTTGGGACCGGAATGGTCCCAGATGACTGATTTTGCCGATCCAGTTGAGGTCATACCTGCCACTGTCCTCCCGCCAGCCCTGGATCAGCCCTGCTTCCTGGCTGGCTCCCTTGCCACCAGCCCCCCGTTAAGCCAGGCAGCCCAGTTCTAACCCAGCTCCCTGCATTCAGGGCTCCTGGCCACACTGAGGCAGCCCCACTGTGTTGTACCTAGTAGGCTACCTGTGGCACGCTGGTCAGCCCAGCAGCAAGGGAGCCAGCTGCCCAGATACAGGGATCCCAGCTGCCAACCTTCCACCAGAACACTCTAGTCGTGGAACATCCATGGTCCATTAGGACCATGGATGTAGGTGGACCAGGGAGTCCCGGTTAACAGAGATTCAACCTGTATATATATATATAGCAAAGGATAACTCAAGTTGATTTCAGTGGACCAGGAACAGGCTCATAGTTTGTAAAGCTTATTTTCTGAGTGAAAAGCATGGTGTAAATACAATCCATCATCTTATAAACGTTTATTCAGATATTTATGATTATTCACAGTTGTGAAATGCTGGCAATATTCCCTGTTTTTCTTTTAACAGGTAGAGTCACCCCAGAGCAACTCAGTTCATACATCAAGCTTTTCAAAAACAATTTCAGTGCTCTCAAAAACCACTGTGGACTTCTACAGCTTGTGCTGGCCACAATCCAGACTTTGAAACACCCCCAGAATGCCAAATGGGACAACTTCTTAGCCTTTGAAAGGCTACTTTTGCAGGTACAGTATTATATAAACTTACTTAACTTTATACCAAGTAAACAATATTGTTTTTAAGTAATTAATTTAGTTTAAAATATTTTTGTGAAATTGTATTTGTTCATAATTTGTTTGAGCTACCTGTTATAAAAAAGCTACCTCCTGAGCGTCCATTTTTCATACATTGCAACCTATTTAAAAGAATGGGAAACTACACAGTTAATATTTTTGTAGTTTTGAATCTGATGATAATTTTACATACGCAAAATTAAATTTTTTAGGTGGAAGTACAAAAAGCAACGTGAATTGGGGTTGGAACATTTGTAGAGCCTGTGTGAATATAAAATTTGTATCCATATCCTCATCTGTAGCTGTAAAAATGAGCCATAGGTATTCTCATCCATATCTGGGAATGCGGATTTACACAAATATAAAGTGGATATTCACAGATTTGCAGGGATCTAAACATTTGCATATTAAATTGCAAGAAGACAGTATAGATTTGTCACTGGTTAGAATCACTATTAAGCTTCAAAATAATAATGATAAATAATGGCAAGACGTAGACAAATTCAGAGATGACTTAGCGGTAAATTACATATCTTTATGTGAGTGTAAGCTTGTGTAATTTACATGTTGAATGGGTGAGATTTAATAGGGAAAGCCATGCTCAGGAGAATGTGATATTAATTTGTTCCCTCACACATTCATATTCTCACTGATAATTTCCTACAACTTCCTATTGGTAGTGACATTCTAACGGACATGTAATTTCTATTTCTATTTATGCTATTGCTGAACGTTAAGAGTAGATGGTATAGTGAACAGACTGTATTTAGCTTTGCTTAGATGCAGCAAGGGTTTTTAAAAAGAGTGTAAGGGCATTGCAGTGGGCGCTGGGCACTTACTCCTTTAGCTTACACTTATTTTGGCAGTGAGGACAGCCTACCTTAAAGAAGATAAGTTAGTTGTCTCACTGTAAAATCCTAGTTGAGACAAGGCTCTGTAACTTTTATCTTAAAGTAGTTAGGCAATATCAACCCTGGGTAGGGGAGGAAGTGTACTGCGACTTCAGCTACCTGCATCAAAGTGAGAACTAACTGTGGCTTGTCTCCACTTACCTTGCTATAAAAAAAAAAACAATCCAAATAAAACTTCATCTTTGTTGGGTGAGGAAGATCTAGCCCTTGACTCATCTGAAAATTCAAGCCTATACAGATTGCTGAGACTCACACCAATGTTTCCTGGAAGATAAACAGACAAAACTTTAAAAAAGTAGGAAAGTGTGTGCTAACAGTTAACGGAACTATTTTCTCAACATTGAATTATTTTTTGCTAATTCCCATTGCCTGAAGTATTTAGTATTATATCTTCTTCCATTAAGTAACATGACTTAGGTAAAACAGCTGTGGCTATAATGGATCTTGATTGCTCTAGAAATAAAACTCATGCTCAGCACAGTTTATACAGATAGGTGATATGTATAAAAAGTATTTTTGTAACCACATTCAACTATGGAGTGTATTAAGGGTGTTCAGTTCATCATAAGTAGATCATTTTAGTCAAATCAAACTGTTTAGCCCAGTGTTATATCTGACCAGGACAGTGATAGTGACTATGAAATACTAAGGGAGATGAGAGAAGGCTATCAACATAAACACTCAATAATAGTGGGGGATTTTAACTATCCTCATGTTGACTGGGTACATGTCACCTCAGGATGGGATGCAAAGATAACATTTTTCATACCTTAAATGACTACTTCTTGAAGCAGCTGGTTCTGGAACCTGCAAGAGGAGAGGTAGTTCTTGATTTAGTCCTAAGTGGAGTACAGGATCTGGTCTAAGAGGTAAATATAACTGGACCACTTGGAAATAGTGACCCATAATGTAATAAAATTTAACATCCCTGTGATGGGAAAAACACCTCAGCAGCCCAACACTGTGGCATTTAATTTCAGAAAGGGTAACTACACAAAAATGAGGAGGTTAGTTAAACAGAAATTAAAACAAAAGTAAAATCCCTGCAAGCTGTGTGGAAACTTTTCAAAGACATTGAAATAGAGGCACAACTAAAATGTATGCCCCAAATTAAAAAACACAGTAAGAAAACCAAAAAAGTGCCACCATGGCCTAACAACCAAGAAAAAGAAGCAGTGCAAAATAAAAAGACATCATTTAAAAAGGAGAAGTTAAATCCTAGTGAGAAAAATTGACAGAGTTTATGCTCCTTTCTAATTAAGTGCAAAAATATAATAAGAAATGCCAGAAAAGAGTTTGAACAACAGCTAGCCAAAAAATAATAGTAGTAATAGCCAAAAAGTACATCAGAAGCAGGAAGCCTGCTAAACAACCAGTTGGCCCCTGGACAATCGAGATGCAAAAGGAACACTCAAAGACAAGAAAGCCATGGTGGAGAAACTGGGGGCATGTCTAGACTTGCTTTCACTTTCGAAAAAAGATATGCAAATTCTGTGCAAATTTGCGTATCTTCTTTTGATCACTTTTTCGAAAGAGCTTCTTTCGGAAAAGAAAGTAGTCTAGACGTGGTTCTTTTGAGGGAGGGAAACCCTTTTTCGAAAGAACCTGTTCTTCCTAAAAAAAGAGGTTGACATGGTTCTTTTGAAAAATGGTTCTTTCTCGGAAGAACAGCATCTAGATTTTCTTTTTCGAAAGAACCTCTTTCAAAAAAGTGATCAGAAGAAGATATGCAAATTTGCGTCAAATTTGCATATCTTATTTTGAAAGTGAACGTAAGTCTAGACATGCCCTAAATGAATTCTTTACTTCCGTCTATTTGTATTTGAAGGCTTCAATATCTGAGATATAGGTGAGAGGATTATTCTAGGAGGGGTGGGTGAGATTCTGTGGCCTGTACTGTGCAGGGGGTCAGACTAGATGATCATAATGGTCCCTTCTGACCTTAAAGTCTGAGTCTTCCCGCAGCTCCCTTTGGCTGCAAGTGGTGTTCCTGAGCCAATGGAATCTGCAAGGCTCCATGGCCACGGCACTGCTAAATAAACACATTGGAGCAGCCAATTAGCAGGTTTCTCAAAGTGGTTTTGTGGACCACTTTGAGAAACACTGCTATACACTAAAGATACACTTTAAAACCAAGGGGGGGGGGAAAAACCCCAGAGCATGCAATTAGAGAATCAGGGAGGGAAACGTAAAATGCTGGTCCTAAAATGTTGCAGTTTAATACTACTTAATTTCTTAAAATTCAGAACCTTACCACAGCTGCTCTTTAAGGCACAGAGGCACAATTCACCCCATCTCTCTTTAGCTGACTCTTTGCAGACTGATTGCTGATAGGCCCTGATTCCAGGCTTCCCTACAGATCCATCCCATTAACCTGAAATTAGGATCACAGAATCTCTACAGAATTTAAAGTAGTAAATTGTAATTTTAACAGTTAAATACCACGTCAGGCTCCATAGTTTTCTAGAAGGAATAATTTACGCTGTACTGAAATCTTTTAGTTGACTCTCCATGGCCAGTCTCACTGTTTTTCTATTCAGTCAGCTCATGCCTTTCTAAAAACTACTTAATTGACATTCTGTCTTTAATCTAAACTTTTTAAAATCATCCATTGTATTTCTTATTCTGTTTCTTAAAATGCTCATACTGTTCTGGGGTGTAGTTGTCCCAGTCTGTTTGGCCCCGCTGAGACCTCAGTTGAAGTAGTGTGTCCAGTTTCTGGGTGCTATACATTAGGAAAGACATGGATAAATTGGAAAGAGTCCAGAGCAGTCACAAAAATGATAAAAGGTTTAGAAAATCTATCCTATGAAGAATAGTAGGTCTTGAGAAAAGGAGTGGGAACCTCATAACAGTCTTAAAATATGTTAAGGGCTGTTATAAAGAAAATGGTTATCAGTTCTCTATGTCCACTGAAGGTAAGACAAGGAGTCAGGGACTTAATCTGCAGGAAGGGACATTTAGGTTAGAAATTAGGAAAAAAGTTCTAAGTATGGAATAGGCTTCCAAGAGAGGTTGGGGAATCTCCATCATTGCAGGTTTTTAAGAATAGGTTGGATAACCATCTGTCAGGGATGGTCTAGAGCAGGGGTCTCCAAACTTTTCAGCCCGAGGGCCGCATTAACTATCAAACAGCAGTTCGGGGGCCGACTACACACTTGAGGTCCAAATAAAAAACAATCAAAACATGGATGTTGTTTTTAATTATTTATTTAATATTATTTTATTCAGTTATTATTTAATAACACATTGATACACTACACATGAACACCTGTATTAGTGTGAATGGTGAAATTGTTTCCTGGATGCCAAAATAGCAGACATTTCTGGCTTTAGAAATCACTGTTTGAAATTGGGGGTGGTGCTTGTCCTAGTCCTGCAGGAGGGGCTCCAGAACGGGGAAACTGCTGAGAACTCATTTCCACCTGCGCAATGTGATGAAAATTGTAAGCAACATAATCCTGGCAATATGTTCAGCCTAAGACACTCACACTTGAAGAGATGTGATCGCTCTCCTATCATGCAGGGAATGAGGTGACAATTTGTAACATAGCCCCATGGAACAAGGGGCATGCATTTTAATGGGAAAAGCTGGTTTGAAAGCAGACACGTTATCACTTGGTAAAGGAAGTTGGAAAGCAGTGCCCAACGCTCCCACAGACTGATACCCGGCAGGGCGGTGCTGCTCTGGGTTGTGGATGAGAGAGACCAGACGTCGAAGGGAGAGGGATGTTTCTTCAGGGCGCACTGCAGGGACCAGGGCAGCGCGCTAGGCACGGCACAGCGTCACCCAGAGGCTGTGCCACAGCCCCTCCCCCCTGATTGGCCGGCTGCCCTGTCAGTCTGGGCGGGGGAACGCCGCCCGTGCTAACCCCCGCCTCTGCGCCGTTTGCTGCCGCGCGGCCGCTTGTCATTGGAGCGGCCCGCTTCTCCTGCCCCGGCGCGGCGTGAGTACACGCCGCACACCCCTGACAGGGCCCCCCCACCGCGGCAAGAAGGGCCCGTTCGGCGGCGCCCCAGGGACGGTCTCCACGGGCCGGA